CGCTGCCTTGCTGCCCGCGCGCCTCTGCCCGGCCGCAACCCGGCGCCCCTTCCGCATTGCCCCCGGGCCCTCTCCCTCTGGGTCCCTCCCCGCGCAACTCCTCCCGTGCGGCCGCCGGGTCCCCGGGCCAACTCACACCCCCACATTCTCCGCCCTGTGCTCCCGCGCCCTCTCCGCCCGGGCCCCCGCGGCCGCTCGCTGACCCAGGGCCTGGCTCACCCGCCCGCCCCTTTGGAGCTCCTCACCGCCGGTCCCCGAGTCGCTGTCCCAGGCTGCGGGGCTGCCTCTCAGCCCGGACCTGGTTCTTGAACGGCCCATTCCCCTGCCTGCCCCTCCTTTGCCCGCTCCCCCCAAACCCACATTCTTCCCCTGCTCCTGGGGCTTCTGCTTCCGCTCGGGAGAGCGCCCAAGCCGGTCCACATACCCGCTGGGCTTCTGGATCTGAATGTAGGAGGGATCAGAAGGAGGCCCCATCTTGCCCACGGGGTAAAGGGCAGAGGGGAACCAGGCCCCAGGAGGCAACTCAGCCTCTTGTTTAGACAGCACCAGCCCCATTCAGAGCCTCTGAAGAGGCTGCATCTACTGAGAAAACATTTATTGAGCTGCTTCTGCATGCTCCGCCTAGTAATACAGAAAATAAGAGCCAGGAATGCCTTCAGTGCTTTCATAGTACAGATAAGTGAATATCTTCGGAGAAGGGAGGGTATTTGCCTCAAGTCACTCCACTAGTAACCTGCATAGCAACAGCTACTGTTTGGGTGTGTCTCCTGGGGGACCATGCAAGGACCATGCGACGTGCCTTACCTGGGTCATGCCACATGGAATCCTCACAATCCTGTTCATTCATTCTTTCAACGAATATACATACTGAACATCTACCATGTGCCAGGCCCTGGGCTCGGTGCTAAGAATACAATAATGAGCAAAATGCATCTGGTCCCTGCCCATTGATTCCACTGGACTTAGCAATAAAGACAGAGGACATAAATCACAGTGCATCCCTTGAGGCAGTATATGATCTTCAATTTCTGGATGTAGAAAATGAGGCTAGATAATTTGCACCGTCATCTAGGGAGAAAGTAGACAATTCAGGACTAGAATCCATGTCCTCAGACTCCATATCCTTGGTTCTTTTTCACTCTAAAGGTTAGGCAAATGTGGGTGGGATCAACTTAGAGGCCCTTGAACTTCAAGCTAAGAAATTTGGTCTAAATTATATGGTTATGAGCAGCCAAGGAAGGAAGGAAAGCGGAAGAGTGAAAGTAACCCAAGGACAGGCACAAGATGGGTGTGGATGGTTATGCCAGAAGACTACTGTAATAGTCCCAGCAAAAGGTAGCAAGGCTCTGATCCCAGGAAGGGACAATGGGGATGGGAATGGGGGGTGGGGGGGGATTTCCACCCACTGACACCTTCTAGGTTTCTGTCTGCCTGCATTCTCCCATGTTAAATAAAGAAAAGGAACCACCATTATTAAATTTCTACTAAGTGCTAGGCAATGTCCTGAGGAATTTTGTGTACATTATCTTGTTAAATCCTCCCCATAGAGACGCCCCCCGGGTGGCTCGGTTGTTAAGTGTCTGCCTTTGGCTCAGGTCATGATCCCAGGGTCCTGGGATTGAGCCCTACATTGGGCTCCCTGCTCCACGGGAAGCCTGCTTCTCCCTCTCCCACTTCCCCCTGCTTATGTTCCCTCTCTCGCTGTGTCTCTCTCTGTCAAATAAAATCTTTAAAAAAAAAGGAATAAATCCTCCCCATAACCCCATAAGAAACCAGTAGGTATCTTTATTATTCTCATTTTAGAAAAAGGAAACAGAGACTTTAAGAGGTTAAACAACTTGCTGATGCCCACAAAGCAAACTAGTGTTGGGGCTTGGGTTAAAGCCCAGGCCTGGCTCCAAAGCTCATGCTGTAACCATTGCTCTCTACTGTCTGAAGCCAAGGCAAAGAACCAAAGTCCTTTGATTCAGCCAAGGGTTCTTCACTGTGGACCACAGGTACCATTTAGATTTCCAGAGAAGGGTCAGGGGTCCACAAATGTAACCTAAAGTGTAGCTGGGGAGATAGCGCAGGTCCCTGTATGGGACATCTCTCCCCAGGAGACTGCAGAAGCCTCAACCCAGGAGAATTCGGCAGCCCGGTTAGAAAGTTCCTGTGGCGGGGCGCCTGGATGGCTCAGTTGTTAAGTGTCTGCCTTCGGCTCAGGTCATGATCCCAGGTCTTGGGATCAAGCCCCACATCGGGCTCCCTGCTCCGCGGGAAGCCTGCTTCTCCCTCTCCCACTCCCCCTGCTTGTGTTCCCTCTGTCGCTGTGTCTCTCTCTGTCAAATAAATAAATAAAATCTTAAAAAAAAAAAAAAAGTTCATGTGGGGATGGGCTGAGAAACCGTGAGGCAGAAGCAGAAGTGCAAAAACCCTTCTCCGGTGAGAGGGCAACATGGATGCCAAGGGGAAGACATAGCAAGAGTGCCGGTGGCTGGGTATGAAACTGAGTGTCTGCAGGGCTGGGACCTGTGGCCTGGCGCTCTGGAGACAGGAACGGCTGCGGAGAGCTCCTGGGGCAGGGCTGTCTCATCACCTAAGAAGCCTGCAGTCCCAGCCTCTCTGACTGGAGAGCATCGGAAGGTTTGCCTCTTCTCAACCTCACTGTCCTTCCCAAATCTGACCACCAATCCTGTTCTGAATTATTCATGCTGTGGGCTGTGAGAAGGTGGAGCTTCCAGAGGCTTCGGCACTTAGGACCTAGGACATTCAGCTATGTCTCCCTGGGGCTCTAGCTTCAGCCGTGCTGCCCTGGGATTGAGCTGCTGGTAAGATTTGCCAAGCTTTTTTCAGCAGGCAGCTGGCCAGTAACCTTGGGCTCCTGGGCTTCGATTCATTTCAGCCGATCTTTTGTTGAGGAATACTATGTGCCGGGGACAGTTCTGCGTCCTGTTGGGAACACGGAAGTGAACCTGATCAGATCTCTGTCCTTGAGGATTTGTGGCATGGTTCAGGAGGCAGACATTTAAAAATTATTCCCTTCTACCATGTCCTCTGGGTCTGGTAAATGTTCCCCACTACTGTCCCCCATTTCACCAACTGAAGGCCTCTGCTAATTCCCTCCAGAAGTTAGTGGCCTTGGAACTAGGGAACCTCACACCCCAAACACCTGGGCAGGGTTCTCTCCTTGGAGGGGCACCAAAACAACTTAACCCAGGACTATTTGGAGTCCTGAACTTGGCCCCAGACTGTAGCTTGGGCCCCTAGGTTTCCAGCCACATCAGGAAAATGACACTCACTCTCAAATCCATCCATTCAGCAAACACTAATTAAGCATGGAATCAGTGCCAAGCACCCAGCTTTGTGTTGTGCAGCTGGTTCAAAACCAAACCACACAGGCATGGCCCCTGTTCTCATGCTGCTCACAGTCTCGGTGGGGAGACAGACAAGCAAAATGGCAATTAATCTTCAACGATGGTGTGGAGATGGTGGGGAAGTACAGGGCACCCTGGGAGGGAACACAGAACAGGGACTCTTCCTAGAAGCTTGCGGCTAGATAATTTTACCAGGACTTTCATCCTTGTCTTTCTAGATCTTTGCTTAAATGGAAACTCTTCCAGTCGCCTATCTACATCTTCCATACTGGCTTGTCCTTTCACTTTATCCTCTTTTCTAACCTATTCCTCTGGACGCTTTGGCATCAGACAGGTGTCCAATGGAAGGTGGAGGTAAACATGAACCTGAGTAGAGGCTGGAGCCCTGTGAAGTAATGCTATCCAGAGGCAAGAGCACAGGATCCCCAAACAAGGAGGGACTTTAAGATTTCTAAGCTCTGCCTAGAACATTTCCCGCCCACCTTTCACTAAGTGTTTCCTCACATCCAGACACTGATGACGTCCAGATTTGTATCCCATCTGTATCTCATCCCAACTCCAGATTCAGATCCAACTGCTTCCTTGACATCCCCATCCCCACTCAGATATCTGATAGGCATCTCAAACTCACAATGTCCACATAGCGCTCTTGATATCTGCCCCCACCACCCACAAAACTGTTCCTCCCCATCTCTGCCATCTCAGAAAAAATGGCCCCACTACCTACCCACGTACTCAAATCAAAGATCTAGTATTTACTCTTGATTTTTCTTTCTCTCATTCTCTTCCACATCAGCAAGGGCTGACAAACTACCTCTATAATGTATCCTGAACTCATCCACTTCTTCTGTCTTTCTATGACCACCTTAATTCATCATTCTCCTGGACAGCTGCACTAGCCTTCTGAATGGTCTTCCTGTTTCCACTCTTGCTCTCACCCACTTCAATCCATGAAGCAACTAGATTGAACCTTTTTAAACATAAATCACGGGGTGCCTGGGTGGCTCAGTCGGTTAAGTGTCTACTTTCGGCTCAGGTCATGATCCCAGGATCTTGGGTTTGAGCCCCGCATCGGGCTCCCTGTTTAGCAGGAATCCTGCTTCTCCCTTTCCCGCTCCCCCTGCTTGTGTTCCTCTCTCGCTGTCTCTCTCTCTCTCAAAAAATAAATAAAATCTTAAAAAAAACCATAAATCACGTCATGTCAGCCCACACACAGTTCCAGCTAGTACTTAGAATAAAATATAAACTCCTTATAATGGTCCATAATGATCTGGCCCCTGCTTAGACCTAAACTCGAGACCCCTTGCTCACTGGATTCCAACACATCAGACCTTCTGTTTCTCTCACAAGCTAATCTCATTCCCATCTCAGGGCTTTGCAAAGCTGTTTTAGCTGCCTGATATTCTCTTCTCTAAAATCTTATGTAATTGGGGAACCTGGCTGGCTCAGGGGGTAGAGCACAGGACTCTTGATCTTGGGGTCATGAGTTCAAGCCCCATGTTGGGCATGGAGCCTACTTAAAATTTAAAAAAAAAAATTAAAATGTTGTATAATTGGTGCCCTTTTCACTATCCAGGGCTCAGTTTAAAATTCACCTCTTAAAAAAGGCCTTTTTTGACCACTCATCTAAAGTAACCACCTCTGTTAAACATCTTTATTTTCTTTGTAACAGTTATCACTTTGTCATTATCTTGCTTATTTACTTGTTTCTTTTCTGTCTCCCCCACCAGGATGCTCCAGGAGAGTGAGGACACTGTGCTGTTCACTGCTGTATCCCTACAGTGCCTGGCACACAGTAGGCTTGCACAGACACTTGTTGAATGAATGAGCTTGAATGAGTGAATCAATGAAGTGGGAACAGCAGAGGAAGAGAACAGCAGAGAGATCAGTATGTACAAAGACCTGAAGTTGAGAGAGAGTATCTAATGCTCATGAAATTGAAAGAAGTTCAGAATAATTGGCATGAAGAG